CTTCCTTACTCCCCTCTCGCGGATGGTATCGCCCACGACCAGTCAAGCATGGAAAATCTTTTGCAGGAAATCGGCTGCATTTCGGCTTCAACTTTTTCACCCCCCCGAGGCACAAAATGTGAATTTGCGCTTATAATACACGCGCACGCGTGGCGTGCGACCATGCCGCGCGTGTGTGCGTCTCGTGGGTGTGTGTGTATGTGTGATTATGTGACTGTAAAAACATGCATTATAGCCGTATATCCACTTTTTGTGCTTTGGGGGGAGAAAAAGTTTCAGTCGAAATACGGCCATTTGCTCGTGAAAGTATTTCCATGCTTGACTGGTCGTGGGCGATACCATCCGCGAAAGGGGAGTAAGGAAGTGAGGGAGAGGGAAGTGGACGGAGAGAGAAAAGACGGAGACAGGAGAGTATATAGGGATATACTAGTAGTAGTATATATATAGAAAGTGGCTTCCTCTCTCCCCTCCTCTCTGGCTTTGACATCTTTTGACATTTGATGCTCTTTGACATCCTCGCACAAAGAAAGCTCGCAGATTTCTACGGAAACGTGTGTTGTAAACACAGTAGACGAACACAGGCGCGCGCACAGTGCCTCTAGTATTAATCCCCCTCTCCTCTCTCTCTCTCTCTCCCTCCTCTCTCTCTCTCTCCTCTCTCTCTCTCTCTCTCTTCCTGCTCCCATATCCCCCTCTCTTTCTCTCCCTCTGCCTCTCTCTCTCTCTCTCTCTCTCTCTCTTACAAGTTTTCTCTTTCTCGGGCGCTATATATATATACTCTCCTCTCTCCGTTTCTTCCTCTTCCTCACTTCCTTACCCTGACTGCCTCCTTTTTCTTCTCATCTATCTCGCTCTCTTCTGCTCGTTTCTCACCCCTCTCTCTTTCTTCTCCGGCTTCTCTGTCCTCCTCTCTGGCTTCCTCTGTCCTCCTCCTCTCTGGCTTCCTCTGTCCTCCTCTCTGGCTTCTCTGTTCTGCCTCCTCTCTGGCTTCCTCTGTCCTCCTCCTCTCTCGGCTTTCCCTCTGTCCTCCTCCTCCCTGGTCTTCCTCTGTCCCTCCTCCTCCTGGCTTCCTCTGTTCTCCTCCTCTCTGGCTTCCTCTGTCCTCCTCCTCTCTGGCTTCCTCTGTCCTCCTCCCCTCTGGCTTCCTCTGTCCTCCTCCTCTCTTGCTACCTCTGTCCTCCTCCTCTCTGGCTTCCTGTCTTCCTCTTCTCTGGCTTCCTGTCCTCCTCTCTGGCTTCCTCTGTCCTCCTCCTCCTCTGGCTTCCTCTCCTGTCCTCTCTCTCTGCTTCCTCTGTCCTCCTCCTCTCTGGCTTCCTCTGTCCTCCTCCTCTCTGGGCTTCCTCTGTCCTCCTCCTCTCTGGCTTCCTCTGTCCTCTCCTCTCTGCTTCCTCTGTCCTCCTCCTCTCTGGCTTCCTCTTGTCCTCTCCTCTCTGGCTTCCTCTGTCCTCGCTCTTCCTCCTCTGGCTTCTCTGTCCTCCTCTCTGGCTTCCTCTCTCCTCTTCCTCTCTGGCTTCCTCTTTCCTCCTCTCTGGCTTCCTCTCCATCTATTCCCTCTTTCTACCACTCCCTCTCCTCTCTCACACATCCTGCTTCCACCAACTCTAGACACGGTAGAATAATTTATTGAGAAAGTACCAAGATTTAGTAACACTGTTTTATTTTTCAGCTAGAACAGTACCTAGCAAATAATCTTAAACAAGATCCAACCTCTCCCCTCTCTTCTCCCCCTCTTCTCTGGCTTCCTCTCTCCTCCTCCTCTCTCTATCCTTCTATCCTCTCTTTCTACCACTCCCTCTCCTCTCTCACACATCCTGCTTCCACCAACTCTAAACTGACACAGTAGAATAATTTATTGAGCAAGTCCCAAGATTTAGTAACAATGTTTTATTTTTTAGCTAGTACAGTACCTAGCAAATATATAACACATCTTAAACCAGACACTGACACTGTCATTTCATTCTGATATAGCATTTACTAAAAAGACATTGTTTGACAAATGAGAGGTCTACTTCATGTGGCAGTAAAATATTCTAACTTTCTATATATTGTAAAATAACAACATGAACTCAAAGAACTTTGTGCACAGGGTGATGGAAATGAAGTCACGTGTCACCTTAAGCTCAGCTTAATCTGTCAGAATGCGTGTAGTAATAGCAGGGGCAAATAATGACAGTCTGTCATTATTCATTCCTGGTAATAGGTGCGTAGTTTTCTCACTATGGTTGCTCATAAGTGACCAGCTTAACCTCATAATGTGTAGAGAACACGTCTGCAGGGTATTAAGTAATGTAAGTAAGTAAACCTACAAGGCACCAGTTTTAAAACGTATTTTAAAACCATGGCGCACACTGGCAAATTCTAAATAATAAGACAGATGAAGGAAAAATCATCAAATGAAACTTGCTGCATGGTGCATGCCACGCAATACTACATTTATCTAGTGATGTAGCAGGTTTTTTGAAGACGAAATAAAATGTCGTTGCACTATATAGTAACTGTATATATATATAGCAAAAAGACAGTAGTAATTGCAGTTTACATGAAAGTAACACAGCGTAGTAAAGCTTAGTAATAACTGTGTAAAAAAGCTGTCTAGCTTGTTTATAGTAATATAAACCCTACTTCTACATGTTCTAGTCTTTTTGTAAGATAGATGTGATCTAGACATTACATGCAATAGAATGTGGGTAGATTATCAATTCTATTGGGTAGTAATATTTACATGGGTTACTAGTAGACAAATTATAACTGCCAACCAGGGTTGTCAGACGGAATAACCAGATAAACCATCTATTTGGTTTACTCTTTAAATACGTAAAATAACTTCTCGTTTTACAACACCTTGACATCATTATTCGATTTTGCTATAAAAAAAAGGAAGAGACACTTGTATTTTCAAGCTCAATCACAGGTTTACAAGGCATTCACCCATCAGCACTCCACACAACTCCCATGTATTTACAGTTGCACAACAGTGTTGGCATCTACAGTCCATCAACGAGATTAGCAGCCTCCAGCTTCTCAAATTCTCTCTTCCTGGCTTTTAAGACATCCCGTATGATTGCTGAAAAGCACGAAAACAAAGCACATTAGCGAAGTTCTGGATTCCTCCTTTCTGTCTTCGCTTCCCTTACTCAAATGGGACATCCGTAATGGCAACTGCATAACTAAGGGAATCACTAACATTACATCAAATACACATCAACTAGTTTATGATGTAGTAAGCATAGCGAGTGAGCGGCGTATCCTTACGATGCAATTGATCTGACGTAGTGATGATATCGTGAAATTAATCTATCGCGGATGTGATCTTCCGTGCAAAGGCAGAATAGCGAGTGCATGTGTGTGCATTGTGCGTGCGTGCATGTGAGATGGTACTTACAGTCCATGGGTTTTTAGAAATAGCCGCTGTCGGTCAGACAGGAGAAGACAGAGTGCACTAGGTCTGAAAGATATCCCCGAGCGAAGGCACACGCAGCCACCCTCTGCGATGTGTCGGCTTCCAACTTCAGTACCTCCTTCTGCTGCTGCATTTGCCACACCTGTCCGCCACACAAACACACATCAACCGTTATTCAGCCTGATTGAGTAAAAAGACCGAAAGCACGAAGAAGACCATTGTGACTGTAGTCATTCGTCGTTAAATTTATGGTTGTAATATAAATATCCTAAAATATCAAGTTGAAGTCTCAAATATATAGCTCAAAGGTGTGCCTTTCTCCTCCCTGTGTCGCCTCTCCTTCTCCTCACACTTTCCCTTACTTTCTTCTTCCTGTGTCGCCTCTCCTTCCCCTCTCTGACATCTTACCTTTTGCTCCCTATCTCGCTTGTCCTTATCCTCTTTCCCCTTTACCATCTCCTCTATGTATCACCTCTCCTTATCCTGTCTTCCCCCTTATCCTCTCTCTTCTCCCTTAACTTTGTCTCTCTGTGTCATCTCCACTTCTCCTCTCTCCCACTTTACCTTCTTCTTCTTGTATCTCCTGTCCTTCTCCTCCAGTATCCGCATCTCGACGAGCTCGGCATTGTGCAGTTCTAGGAAGGCCTTCTGCTGCGCGCCCATCGCCGCCAGTTCCTTCTCTTCCATCACCTGCAGCGATGCCTGCTCCAGGGTCTTCCCCACCAGTACCTCCAGTATCGGCGTCACCTCCACGTCAAAGTCGAACAGCTGCCGGCAAGAGAGAGAAAGAAAAGGCTGAAGAATCAGAATACGTCTCACACCAACAATCAAATTCCCATCGCCGCAGGTGCAGCTGGGATCAGGTGGAGATCGGGTGGCCCGTTGTCGGAAACGGGATCGGTCTCTACATTATATGCTGAACGTCAACTTTGTTACCGTAGACTGTTGATGGAAACGTGGTGAAGTTACGAAGTTTCTTGTACGTTAAAAAGTTAACGTCGAGATTAATGTAACGAGAAGACCTAAGTTCCTGACAACGAGCCCCAGAATGCATCTCACCCTGCATTTTTCTTTCAGCTTATAAACTCGAGTGTCGTAGGCTCCCTCATCTTCTCACAGCAGCACCTCAAACTTCTTTAGCCAGAATCCGAAACGACCGCCGTGACTGCATCACCCGATTAAACCCCGTGCACTTTCCATGCATTCAGTGTCATATACGTGCACTGACCCGTCTTATGTAAAAAGTCTTGATTAGAAGTAATTTGCCTCGATGACAATGATGCCCTCATCCGAAGGAGATCTTTGCTGCAGTGAAGCTCTGACCTGCTGCGTTGCCATAGAAAGTTTCGTCTAAACCCGAGGGCAATGATTGCCTTGCCCCCATCGATACAAAACTAAAACTGGACCGCCCCTCACACCTTCCGGTGACAATCGCTGCGTCTGCATCTGTTAATTCGCCCATGCTCGCGCTGCACTCACGTCGCCGTCGTAGATCTGCGTTGCAGCATCGACTCCCGTCTTCGCGGGGATGAACAGCGGGGAGGCGGGACGATCGAGGAATGGGTCGGTATGGCACTGCGCGTCTGCCTCCTCCACCCTGTCCCAGAGTTCCTCGAGGTAGAGTTCCATTTGCACATCCTAGACGCGCGAGCAAACACAGCGCGTTAGAAACTAACTGTTTCACCCAAGCAATTGCTACCAGAGAAGGCATTTCCGATTGCGGAAAAGGACAAAGGTGGCCTTTATAAAAACGTTGTAACTGTATAAAGACTCCTTGAAAGAAACATCAAAAGTGTCCTTCATACAAAGGTAACCCATTCTATGTAGATGGTTTTACTGTATAACTGCTTGCATCCGTGAACACATGGGGCGAGTGTTAACCGACCATGGCGCAGCGCGTTCCACAGCGTGTGCGGCGGGCTTAACCAACCAGTAGCACTATTAAAATCATTGATAGTACACACATTAGTACCTGCAGAGCCTCCTGGTGGCTACCTGTCGTGCAGCCTATTGCCGTATCGCCGACTGTTGGTAGCCATGATGGCAGGGATGCTGCATGGAATGCTATCCAGCTACATGTGCGTCCATGCGTGCACACGTGTTTTGTGATGTGTCACTGTCAGTGTATTGTAGACGTTATAAAGGATCATATGCCGAAACCTATCCATTTGTTAATTTACCTTTTACAAATATTCCACTACGCCCTCCAGAATTCGGCATCCATCAGTAGTGATGCGATTTCTCTGCTGTGAGATCATACCTGAAGAAAAGACACGTGCAGTGAAAAAAACGTTACGTAATCATCACATGTATGTGTGCTACATTTGGCAATGGTTTTTTTGCCAGTGCACACACGGATCAATAGCTCTTGCAGTCATGGTTCGCTGGAAACTCACGCACACATCAGCGTAACGCGTAGCACCTGCAAACACAGACTCAAAGTGCCAGTAAAATATATTACATAATAATATGGAATATCTCTATAAATACACCGCACACTCGCTAGGCGGCGAGTAGTGGTTAGTAGTTTATGTGCTCAATATTCTAACATTTTTACAAGCGAAAACTACCTGCACGGTTTATTTGTTGTGAATATTTACATTATAAGGGTATCAAGGACAAGAGTTAGGGTTAGGGTTAGAGCTAGAGCCAGGATTAGGCTTAGGGTTATAATATTTAGGTAATAGGTAATATATCAGGGTAATTAGGGTTAGGATTATATAAGAGTACGAGTGTAAACAAACCCTAAACATGTCCGCAAACAAAGGAGAAAAAGTTGGTGGCGGCGTGAGATGCAAACAACATTTGTAATCGTTGCTCGACCCGTATTGTTCCATACCGTATATTTCCACACGATATCGCTGTGAAATCTCATCTGAAGGAAGGACACCTGCAGTGGAGAAAAGGTTTGTAATGATTACACACATTGCTGCTACATTTGACACTATTTTTTACACACGGATCAATAGTTTTTGTATGTATCACTATATGGTTCGCTGTAAACTGAGACATGCGTGCAAGCTTAATATAGCTATACATTGTTATAGAATGTCTCTATGAATACACAATACACTCGCTAGGTGGCGCTAGTAGATCATATGACTGTCCTCCTCCTCTCTGGCTTAATTCCTCTCACCTCCTCCTCTCTCCTATTCCCTCTTTCTATCACTCCCTCTCCTCTCTCACACATCCTGCTTCCACCAACTCTAGACACGGTAGAATACTTTATTGAGAAAGTACCAAGATTTAGTAACAATGTTTTATTTTTCAGCTAGTATAGTTACCTATAGCAAATAATCTTAAACAAGATCCAACCTCTCCCCTCTCTTCTCTGGCTTCCTCTCCCCCCCTCTTCTCTGGCTTCCTCTCTCCTCCTCCTCCCTCTCTTTCTACCACTCCCTCTCCTCTCTCACACATCCTGCTTCCACCAACTCTAAACTGACACAGTAGAATAATTTATTGAGCAAGTCCCAAGATTTAGTAACAATGTTTTATTTTTTAGCTAGTACAGTACCTAGCAAATATATAACACATCTTAAACCAGACACTGACACTGTCATTTCATTATGATATGATAGCATTTACTAAAAAGACATTGTTTGACAAATGAGAGGTCTACTTCATGTGGCAGTAAAATATTCTAACTTTCTATATATTGTAAAATAACAACATGAACTCAAAGAACTTTGCGCACAGGGTGATGGAAATGAAGTCACGCGTCACCTTAAGCTCAGCTTAATCTGTCAGAATGCGTGTAGTAATAGCAGGGCGAATAATGACAGTCTGTCATTATTCATTCCTGGTAATAGGTGCGTAGTTTTCTCACTATGGTTGCTCATAAGTGACCAGCTTAACCTCATAATGTGTAGAGAACACGTCTGCAGTGTATTAAGTAATGTAAGTAAGTAAGTAAACCTACAAGGCACCAGTATTAAAACGTATTTTTAAACCAGGGCGCACACTGGCAAATTCTAAATAATAAGACAGATGAAGGAAAAATAATCAAATGAAACTGGCTGCACGGTGCATGCCACGCAATACTACATTTATCTAGTGATGTAGCAGGTTTTTTGAAGACGAAATAAAATGTCGTTGCACTATATAGTAACTGTATATATTGCGAATGACAGTAGTAATAGCAGTTTACATGAAAGTAACACAGCCTAGTAAAGCTTAGTAATAACTGTGTAAAAAAGCTGTCTAGCTTGTTTATAGTAATATAAACCCTACTTCTACATGGTCTAGTCTTTTTGTAGGATAGATGTGATCTAGACATTACATGGAATGGAATGTGGGTAGATTACCAATTCTATTGGGTAGTAATATTTCCATGGGTAGAGGGTTATTAGTAGACAAATTATAACTGCCAACCAGGGTTGTCGGCAGACGGAATAACCAGATAAACCATCTATTTGGTTTATTCTTTGAATACGTAAAATAACTTCTCGTTTTATAACACCTTGACATCATTATTCGATTTCACTATAAAAAAAGGAAGAGACACTTGTATTTTCAAGCTCAATCACAGGTTCACAAGGCATTCACCCATCAGCACTCCACATAACTCCCATGTATTTACAGTTGCACAACAGTGTTGGCATCTACAGTCCATCAACGAGATTAGCAGCCTCCAGCTTCTCAAATTCTCTCTTTAAGACATCCCGTATGATTGCTGAAAAGCACGAAAACAAAGCACATTAGCGAAGTTCTGGATTCCTCCTTTCTTTCTTCGCTTCCCTTACTCAAATGGGACATCCGTAACTGGCATAACTAAGGAAATCACTGACATTACATCAAATACACATCAACTAGTTTATGATATAGTGAGCGTAGCGAGTAAGTGGTGTATCCTTACGATGCAATTGATCTGACGTAGTGATGATATCGTGGAATTAATCTATCGCGGATGTGATCTTCCGTGCAAAGGCAGAAGAGCGAGTGCATGCGTGTGCATTGTGCGTGCGTGCATGTCAGATGGTACTTACAGTCCATGGGTTTTTAGAAATAGCCGCTGTCGGTCAGACAAGAGAAGACAGAGTGCACTAGGTCTGAAAGATATCCCCGAGCGAAGGCACACGCAGCCACCCTCTGTGATGTGTCGGCTTCTAACTCCTGCACCTCCTTCTGCTGCTGCATTTGCCACACCTGTCCGCCACACAAACACACATCGACCATTATTCAGCCTGATTGAGTAAAAAGACCGAAAGCACGAAGAAGACCATTGTGACTGTAGTCATTCGTCG